GACTGAGAGAGATGAATATAGGAATTCATTTCTCTGGAAGTGTTAAGAATGACTGAGAGAGATGAATATAGGAATTCATTTCTCTGGAAGTGTTAAGAATGACTGAGATTCATGAATATAGAAGTCCGTGTCTCTGGAAGTGATAATAATGACTGAGAGACATGAATATTGGAATCTGTGTCTTTGGAAGTGCTAAGAATGACAGAGAGACATGAATATAGGAATCCATGTCTCTGGGTAAGCTGGAAGTAAAACAGTATGCATCTGTAGTCGAAAGTATTTTTGGCGGTGATAGTCTGTTAACCGATTTCCAGACAGTCTTTTATTCAAATGATTTTGAGATCTATACTGATATCAATGAAGAATGTAATCAACATATAAACCAATTAGTCAAGTTATGAGTTTATTATATATATAAAAAAAAGAATGAGTTAATGTCATCAAGCTTACCATGACAGTTGGACCTTGATAGGGATTAAAACTGAGCTGAACTCACTCAGAATAAGAATCCAGACGTCAGAATCTCTAGAAATGTGAAACTTGATGAAGATAAGCATGGCACGTAACAATGATGAGGCTCAGGTAAAAGGTAAATCCTGAAGTCAGTACAAATGTGAAAGAAGCCAGAGAATTCAAAACAGGGGAATTTTATAACTTTCAAAAGGAATGACAACTCTCAGGTCATAAAGTTATCTGTTATTTAGTGGGTAGAATAAATAACTTGGAATGTTTCTTCTATAATTTACTACATTTTTTTACCACTGGATTGTTATTAATCAGCAAGAGGCAACTTATGGATTTCTAATGAGATAAGACTTGCCAACGATGATACCTAATCCTTTAGCTTGAGGACAGAAGTGGTCTATAAGCTATCAAAAGAGGTTAAATTATATTTTATGAAAGGGTTAATGATTAAGATGAGTTTAAGTTACGCATAATAAGTCTAATGAAAATCTGACTGCTTATACTAATTTATTGTAATGGGTACACAAAAAGGAGTTCCCAGAAACATTCAATGCTCACTGAAATAACATTCTCATAGACTGTCCCTAAAAAAAAGATATCAACACTGAGAAATACAGGCGTTATACGTAATCCAGAAATTCATTCAATGAGAGGCTGTGGTTGGCCAAATGAAATAATAACGTTCTAATGTACACTAGCCAAAAAGAATATAACCAGTGAATGGCAAGAATGGTCAGGTAGTGTAAAAAAGCTCATGTTACATAGCACCATCACCAGAAAGAGAGAACGGAATGCTCAAGTCAACCATCAAACAACCAAAAGCTTAAATAAAATCCTCCAGGAGAGTTGCGGGAAAAGAACTGTCATGTTAAGTTATGGAAGAACATAGTCTCTGTAAAATAAAAGCAGACTGATGAAATTAAAACTCTTGCATTCACTTATTTTTTACTGCCTCTATTAAACTACTTGAGTCTGATCAAGTGTGACTGTTAAATTTGCTTGAGGTCAGCAACTTTTCTAGCACAGAACGTGACAACTCAAACTCCAGAAATGGTCCTGTGCAGATGCATAAGTAACCACTACAATTCCTAGTGGACTTAAAAGCAGCTGTTCCCTTGTTTGATATGGAACGTTTCTAGATGTTAAAATACAAGCCTAAGACTAAACTATACTGAAGACTACAGGGCTATAGTCAATTAATTGAATAACGTGATATAGAGGACATTCTTGCAACCACAATGCCGGAACTAATGGCACAATCTGGAGACATCACCACACTAAACCTGAACACAATGATACAGATGATTGTAGGTACAACAAACTGCTATTTCTATCTTCCCTTGGGCTTGTAAACTAACTTATAGTATTTCTGGGATAAAGTCATCCATTTCAAGGTTATTATTAAAACCATATAGCTATTGTACAGAGATTTCACATGTGTGATTATACCAATAGAAACACTGAAATATACATTAAGCAAGATTCTGCAAGTTCAATGACAACTTTACAATGTTAATTCAAGTTCAAGTTGAAGAAACAGTCTCTCATTAAATATGAAGTATTCTGGGTAGTATGATGGAATGGGTTAAGTTAAACACAGAGTTCAAACCAATTTTATCTATGAAAGAATGAACTTCGTCCATCATTTTCAAAGCATTAAGGATATTTTTCCTTTACTTTCTTTTATCAACATTTAGATACACATTTTTCTGCAAAACCAGTTTCTCTTCTTACTTAATATAGTTAAATCAGACTAGTGAACAAACAATTTGTAAGATTGGTTGAAACCCTAATCATAGTGTTTATATGAAAATTAAGTCAAAAATATAACTTAGGAACTCATTCATGACACAAATGTTTGTTACATTGATTTGTGGATAACGTTATCCCAGGTTTAATCTGAACAGAATAATTCCATCTCTGGTATCAGAAAGATGGTAAAACAACAATGAAATAACAAACACAAAAATTCTTCCTGTAGAGATTCTTAATTAAACACTAAATTCAATACTTATTTATTAGTGGCCAAATGCTCCAGCTAAGTCAGATACTCCAGTGATTGGTAAATGTCCAGAATATTAAAAACATGCACAGTTATTAAATTACCATCTTGTTATTGAACTATTAGTGCATTATATCCATGAAAACGTCTACATGCCTTTCAAGTTATTAAGAAATGACCTGTGTTAATCTTCGTGATTTAATACATGCCGAGATGGATTGTAAGTACTGATATCTTCATACAATTCATACAACTTAAAATCATGAATAACAACCAGCCTCAAGTCCATAATGAATACTAGTTGATCTACAGAAGGAATAACAGTCTGATCCAACAACAATGTGAATAACTATTCTAAAGTGCAGAAGAGACCTGCTTCATTCCTGGGGATATTTACAGACAGAGTGGATCGCCAAGTCTATTGGTTCTTGTTGTCCACCACTTAATGCAGAAGGTATTATCTCCACTGTTACTATCATTAATCATAAAGTACCAACAACGTATCTCAAACGGTGAGATGACACTTGCTAACGATGTTCCATAATACATGAGAATGAAGACCTTAGGACATATAGTGGATATATTGATCAGTTTGATGTTTCAGCTCTGCTTATTATAGTTCAAATATAATGTTATCATCTGGCACAAGTATTGTTTAGTTTGTATCATTCAGTTTGAATGCATATTCTTAAAGACCTGGAAACGAAGATATCAACTAGCCATTGAAGTCTGAATAAACTGCTTTATTGGGGTTGCAGTACCAATAGCATTACAGTATTTCCTCCACAAATACAAACTGGCCAACAATGGATAGGAACGTGCAGAATGTATCAAACAAAACAAATAATCAAGTTAATCAGATCATCAGAGATCGAACCCCTCTATAAACAGGATGTGCATGATAGAATCAACCTGGGGTCTTGTTTAGTAAAATTCAACCCAGAATCCAGAATAAAGGATCATGACTGGTTAGTAGTATCAATTCTGCAAGTATTCTTAACGATTAGATAGATTCCTCCATAGTTTTTGACATCTGAAAAACCTTAATAACCTTTAATGCTTATACTCAGTGATATTTACAAAATTTTCACTTACACACAGTTGGCTTATTTAGTTAGCTGTATGTATGTATGAGATTAGCCAATTTGTAAGTTAATACTAAAGCCCCCGGAAGTAAAATAGCTTGTATGGATAGATGGAACTTGGTATGTAAGTACGAGGCAAGATGAAGATATTAGTAGGTAAATAATTCAATATTTTGTTTTATTCATGTAAATATTGACAATTATAATTGTGATATTTACAAACATTAGTTTTTATTATGTAATATTTTAACAAATGTTTAAAAGATTTCTGAGAGGAAAGTTGATTTTTTAATACTTATTCTTACATAAACCTTTGTTAATGAAAAGTTTTATTATTAACAAGTGGATTTAGGAGCAATTAATACTGCCTCTGTAATTCTAATAGTGCCATGGTCCTCAATAAATGAAATAAAAATGAAAACCGGCTGTGGAAAATTGTGCACTAGGTTTGTCTGGCTAGTGGGTCTCAGAAGAAGGAAAAATACTACTGGAGAATAACGACGTTTTTCTTTGCTTTCAATAACATGTTTTAGTTGAATAAAGCAAATTTAAGTCGTATTTTCAACTCAACAGGACATGACACTCAATGTAATCACTTTATGCATAAAAAAATCACAAAGTAATGTTCCATCATTGAAAGCTTAAATTTGATTAAGTAAATGCCTTGTATGCCTATTTTTTTCTGAGCCTATCGTGTTTACTTTTTGTACTCAATACACAAGATTCGCCACTAATATCGACTTGGATCTTTGCAAGGAATAAATTAATTAGAGCTTTAGTCTTTTATAATTGGATATGATTTACCTGAAAAACTTTTAAACGCGTTTCAGTTTTGTAGCACTTCTTAAGTAGAAAATAATATGAAAATATTCCTCCTGATTTTAGGTATGTTAAACCTTTTATTACGCACAATCGTAAAGTGAAGAGTTAACGAACAAATAGTTTGAATATGAACAGAAGTAACCTTACAGATTATGAAACTATATATATTCTGTGTTAACACATTCACTTTATAACCGAATGTTTAATTCACCTGTTATGTGTACGAGATGTGTCTAGTACCTTCTAGTAATTATCCAAAGAAGTAAATAAGACACGTGGAACGAATGTATGTGCAAATTGTAAGGGTTATGTGAAGATTTCAAACCATGGAATTTCGAATGAAGGAGTCCCCATGTGGGACAGCGGTAAGTTTATGGACTTATAATCGCCTTCCAGTAAGTCTTCAAACACAACCGTATTTATCTATAGGCGACGTTTGAATTATGTCAGAACTTGGCTATTTTTTATTAAATAAACACTGTTTTCAATAGCGACCAGCACAGCACTTTTGTACGCAACTGATAAAAAACAATAATAACCTTACAACTAAAAGCTTATTCGCAAATTCTTAAAAAAATAATTCATGGTATAAATTTTAACATAATAAGGGATGAAAATCTGCCTACCTAACCGTACGTAAAGCAAGTACTGCATGGACACTCGAGGTCTGTTGTCCAGTATGGTGCCTCTCATGCTGATCCACGAAATGAACCCTTCCACAATGATACATCCAGTCAGAATGACGATGTAGCCTAAGACATGTTCGTACAGGTCGATCATGCATTGAGACCACTGACCAAAGTCCACCACCGTTAAAATGACGGACAGGACTATCAACCTGTAACACAATTCTTTTATATTAGTTAGGTAGATAGGTTAAGAAACTCAAATAAGTAGTAATTAAATTATCAAGTTTTATAAAGAAGTACTGTAACAAAAAAGGAGATTAAATAATATTTCGTTTCCTGAAAAGTGCAAAACTAAAAAAAACTAGTTCTGATAGTTAAGGAATGACTGAAGAAACTAGCTCTTATGTCAAGCAATGACTGACAAAATTCTCTCTTATAATCAAACAACGACTAACAAAACTAGCTCTGATAATTAACGAATGACTGAAGAAACTAGCTCTTATATCAAACAATGACTGACAAAATTCTCTCTTATAATCAAACAACGACTAACAAAACTAGCTCTGTTAATTAAGGAATGACTGAAGAAACTAGCTCTTATATCAAACAATGACTGACAAAATTCTCTCTTATAATCAAACAACGACTAACAAAACTAGCTCTGATAATTAACGAATGACTGAAGAAACTAGCTCTTATATCAAACAATGACTG